AATATCACGAATAATTTTTTCATTAAAAAAAGAAAACGTGAAGATTCTAATGATCAAGAAGTGGTTACTGGTAGCAAAGCTAAGGAATCAATTAGCACTAGTAAATCATCAAAAATTGAGAGCTCTATTAGTGAAGATTTGACTATTTTTAACGTTGAGCAACAAACAAGCACTATTGAAACAAAAGAAACAGAAACAATAAGTTCTCGTAAAAATGTTGCATTAAAAAAAATGTAAAAACTCGCTTATATCAAGAAAATTACCTAAAAATGGGATTTACCTGCTGTGGTGATAAATTAATTCCCAGACCAAAATGTATTGTGTGTGGTTTTGTTTTATCAAATGAAGCTATGGTTCCCAGTAAACTATTGCGACACTTCTCCACAAAACATGATCACTTGTCTAAGAAACCTCTTGAATATTTCAAAGATCTGATAAAATTACAAGAAAAACAAAGTAAAAGTTTTGTAAAAAAAAAAAAATATACAATTGCTGACCGTGTTCAAGAAGACAGTTATTTAGTCGCAGAAATAATCGCCAGAGAAATGAAGCCTCATACTATTGGTGAAACTTTGATTCGCCCGGCCTATACAGCAATTGTGAGAACAATTTTTGGTGCTGAAGCAAAAGAAGAAATAAAAAAGATTCCTTTGTCAAATGACACTACGAGTAGACGTATTAGTGATCTATCAGTTGATATTGAAAAGTCAGTTATAAATAAAATAATCAAATCGAAATTATTTACTTTGCAGTTGGATGAGTCAAGTGATCGGTGGTAAAGCACAATTACTTGCCTTCACTCGATTTATTAAAGATCATGAAATTTTAGAAGAATTTTTATGCTGCAAGGAATTTGAAAAAACTACGACGGGAAAAGATGTTTTTGATATCATGAACACATATTTTAATACAAATGGTCTATCTTGGAAATCTTGCGTGGGTGTATGCACAGATGGCGCCCGTTCAATAATTGGAACTATAAAAGGATTTGTTTCATACGCTAAAAAGGAAAACGAAAACATTGTAACAACTCACGTTGTTACAATGTAGGAAAATATAACAATATAATATAACAATACATAGGAAAATATAACAATACAGATTTGCAAAAACTTATTTACAGTCATTTAACGTCGTTAGAAGAAAAAATTAACCATTATTTCCCTGACATATAAGTTGATCTGTACGACTGGATTCGAAATCCTTTTGTAGAGACAACATCAGAAATAAGTTCAGTCTTGCAGAAGCCGAAGACTTAATTGATATACGTAACGATCGTACGTTAAAATTGAAACATTTAGAAATGAGTCTGAATTCATTTTGGATAACAATTTTCCACATCATATCTCTGTGAAGTGGGATTCTCTACACTTCACAGAGATATTATTACATTAAAATATTAAAACAAAGAAGAGAGAAAGACTAAAGGCCCTTGAAAATGAGATGAGGGTATGTCTTTCAAAAACACGACCTAATATTAAGGAAATATGCAAACACCATCAGGCGCATACTTCACATTAAGTTCACGTTTTATCACCAGATACCTTTATAATAGAGAGGATGCGGCCGACGTTTTCAACACGAAAACGTGTACGTCGGACGTTCAGCGCCGCTTTCCTATAAGCCTAGAAGTTTGACAATGGTGTTTGGATAGTCAGTGGAATCATGCTCGACATTCCAAACATCATTGCCAAACTTCTGGGCCTTTAGGAAAGCGGCGCTGAACGTCCGACGTACACGTTTTTGCGTTGAAAACGTCGGCCGCAACCTCTCTATTAATAACTTTTGTTTTGAATGCTTTTGTTTTGTTTAGAAATAAACTTACTTACTTTAAAAAACTTTTATTTTTTTCAAAGTCTTCTCATCCTTCATATCTTTACTAACCGTAAAAAGCAAAATAATAATAATAATAGGGGTGCCGTGAATTTTGTTTAATAATTTCAAGTGCGCCACCTGACAAAAAAGTTTGAGAAACACTGTAGTAGTATGTTATCAAACTCTAGCCATGATAAACTATATAAACAGCTTCTATAGCTTCTTACCAATATTAATTGTTAAATATTAAACATACAAATGTAGCCTTTCTGTAATGTAGCTTTTCATTTCTTCAATACGAAACAAAAAATGTTGCCTTTCGGTGGTATTATTATTAAAATTTTACAATACTGTAGCAGAATTTGCTAATTATGTTTACTCGACTATAACCTTACATGTTTTTAGTACCAGTAGATGCTCATTATTGATCATGTATGTACTTCTCAGAGATTTAAATCTGAGTATAAATAGACTCTTGATAAGTGTTTGTGGATAATTTGCCCCCAATACTTTGGACACCATCTAGTCATCCTGTTATGAATCTAACTAAATCTGTAATGGTTATGTTAAAAAGTAATTTTTTAGAATTTAAAACACTCTAGACTTTAAAAATAAACAACAAAACTATCGAAAACACATAAATTGGGACCTTTTTTACGAAAACCTTTGCCGATATCTGGAGGGAATATAACTTCCCGCAAACTGGCAACAAAACCTCGACCAATACGTGGAGCATGTCACAACGGCAATTATAGGAGCTGCCAAAAAATCTACTAATGAAAAAAATTGCAAACCACAAAAAGACACACTAGTGGACAGAGGAATTGGCAAAAAACAAAAAAGAAATAAACAAAATCCACACAAAACTTTACAAAGAGAGGGACAAAAAGAAAAAAACAAGGCTAAAGCGGGAATACAACAAGATGCTTAAAAACTACAAAAAACAAATAAATAAAATGAGAGCAGCTTACTAGAAAGACTTTTGTTCCAAAGAAAACAAAAATGGCCTATGGAATACTCCCTATCAGTTCATCTATAACAGGTATAAAAAAGCAAACATTCCAAGCATACTAACTAAAAATAAGAATAAAAAAGACCAAAATTACAATATGATCGATAACTTTCACAACATCTTAGACACAGACATCATAAACGACAACCCTGAGGAGGATTCAGAAGACCATAAACAAATACAAACAGAAAATGCAAGGGATATGAACATCAACATTGACAATCCCTTTTCCTTTTGGGAAGTCCAAAGGGCCATAATGAAACTACCAAACAGGAAAGCACCAGGATTAGATAAGATAACACCAGAATGGTAAAAGAGGCATTTAATGAAATCCCTATCGCTTTCGTTCATTTGTATAACAAGTGCCTAAAGATTAGATATTTCACTAAAGCTTGGAAGGCTGGAAACATCAAATTAATCCCTAAATGTGAGTGCCCAAATATGCCAGAAGACTACAGACCAATTACACTTCTACCTGTCATGGGAAAAATCCTGGATGGTCTCCTGATTAACAGGATAAACTGGCATTTACACAAAACAAACAACCAACACCCAAATCAATTTGGTTTCGTGCCCAGGAAGGTTGAATGAACACACTCCTGTCAGTGAAAGAATTTATTATAAATAGGGCATGGTCCTCCCATACCATGGATCCTCCCAGAATACAGTTATACCAGAAAAATAGCTTATAGTATAAAAATTGTCTGTAGTTAACGTATTTGCTGCCAGTTGACATAGCCCCGTAACTTTCATATAATGAAAAATTGCATAAACTGGCAGAAAACATGTTAATAAATCAAGTTAAATCAAAAATTCTATCTGTAATTATATGATTTCATTACCTGAATGATAAAATCTTCTTTGGATATGTTTTGTCTCTGCAACTTGTTTTCCTCATTAGAATAGGATGATTCTCTTAAATGTCCATTAAGCTGTTCTTTAACTTCATTCTATAATTTTTTGGGGAGAAACACTACTTTAACTTATTTCTTTATAGATTGCCTTCATTATAATTTCTTAGATTTTTATTTTAAACATTAAAAATTAATTTTCTAGATATTATTTGTAGTGTACACAGAAGAGAGTAACATAGAAAATCACTCCATTCCAAATACTAATACTAATAGACTGTGATCCAATATTATAAGAGGCGAAAAATTTATGTATAATTATTTGGTTTCTTGTTCCTTTGGTTTCCCAGCCAATTTTTTCTTTGTTCTTCCCAAAATTCCTTTGTTTCCTTTCCCATTTTTATTCATTGTTTATCCCTGTTACCACTTCCTGTTTCCTATTTCATTGGCAATAGATAAACACATATCTGTCCCTCACCCTAAAAGAATAGACCAAGATGTCATCATGGAAATCCCATTGATTGGTCCAGGCCAGATATATATGAAATATGAGAGGTGCTAACAGGAATTTTGATACTCCACAGTAATGATATCATCTTTGTTCGTCTACCAGACCACATTTGCCAACACTGTTCTATGCTGCTTTGTCACTGTCTCTCTCCTTTCTTTTTCTTTTACTAACAACCAGCATTATATCTATTAAGTATATTGTGTTTATATATATATATATATAACAATATTTTGTAGAATCATTTAATCTTCATTTAGAAGAAATGCTTTGCCTCCTGTCTTTCTCAAAACANCAATTAAGAATACAGAAAATGTAAATATAAGATTACTTCCGACATAAACACTCCAAACGAATAACATTAAGGAGTAAATATTAGACAAATTATTAGCAATTTCTAAAATATACATATACATTTTTAGCATTGATTGAATTTATGATAAACAAACGTGCCCGTTTCTAAGGGAATTCAACAAATAAGTTAAAGTATGTTCTATTTCATCACAAATTACTATAAAAAATAGAAACAACCAAACATTAGGCATTACAATAAATCTATAGGTAAATACGAAATAAAAAATTGATATGATGATTTCTATAGTTTGATTAAATTTAAATTCCAATGCTATAAATCTAGTAGTATCTATTGTTATAGTTGGCAAAATAATATAGACAATGAAGCATGCCCAAATAACAATGACTTTAATCCATAAGTATTTTTGATATAATCCATCTTCCAAATGAAAAACTTTCAATCTGCGAAGCTTTTGGATAAGTTTCCTGATTTTCTTCTTCTGAGCATGAAAATGAATTACAGATGCAAAATTGACTATTATAGAAAATTGAAAAAATGAGAATGACAAAAGAAGTACTGTTGTATAATGCGTTTTTATAAACAGAATATAAGTTAAATTGAAATAAATGATAAATAGGATACTAATAATAATCGTGAATACATCGTACAAAGTAATTCGTTTTACTGTATAATTTAATCCACAAAACATCATGGAGATCAGCAACGGTTTCCAATTTCTTTGGTATCGTTCTTTGTGATTTGATTTTAAACTGGGATAGACTTTACTTACCGACGAAACTCTCATTTTCATAAACTAAAATAAAACTATGCTATGAGAAGCGAATCTTTTCGAATAACTTCGTCTTCCTGAATGTTCATACGATGTACTTCCTATAAAGATTTTCTCTAACTGGAATTCTCTTGTTCCGCTCAATAATCAATGCAGCTGTTAATTTTTGAGTAGGCACGCAATTTTCTATTGAATAGGATTTTTAAAATGCAGATTAGAAATTTTTATATAATGAAATCAATTTTTAATTCGGTATTAGTAAATTTGCGCTGCATTTGGTGAATGTCGCTTTTATATGAATTTTGTTTGTATATTTTGTAGAAGGCAGAAGCTGCACGAGAATCAATCTAGATTCAATCTTTTGAATGCATGTGCAAATATTTATTGTGATTTGAATTAAAATTAAATTTCTTTATTGTGATTTAACGGCATTCAGAATTTATTTAAAGAAAGAAAAAAACAACGAATTAGACGTATTGCATGTTTGCAGATCTCAAGATTTCTCCAACTTTAGCTTTGTAAACGGGATCCGTTTCTGTTCTATTAGCCAGTTTAATAAACTGAGATAACGATTGTCTGACTTTCATTATCTCAGAATCTATTAATGACTTCATGTGAATTGTCTGCTTTAATTGTTGTGCCAATTGCTGTATATGTTTATTGACTTTGTCGGCTTTCATCTCCTCCATTTTAATATATTTTTCGTATTCTTCTCTTCGATTTTTTACTTCTGATTTCGTGTTGTTCTCTTCTTCCATTTTGACTTGTTTGACGGTTTC